TGTGTTTTTTTAATAGATTGAAATGGGCTTTCAGGTGCAGTCCAGTGCGTTTGCATGTGGTTTTTGATGTGTTTACATGCATTTTGGTGCGTCCCAGACCAGAAAAACTAGTGCATGCAGTATTTCCACCCCACGCACCACAATGAACTGCACTGGTGTGAACAGAGCGTAGAAATGTGGGTCTTTCCAGCAGTTTGGAAAATATATTATACGGCTCATTAAAACACATTAACAGCTGTTGCAAATAAAATTACATCTGCACAGAAAACGAAACATCTTTTGGGTACCAGAATTCACCAACTGGTTGATGCTGGTCACCATTATAGATAGGGAATCCCATAGTATCTTACCATTAAAATGCTGCTTTTTAAATTGTAACAATAAAATCTACACATGATCATCTTTTAAAGCGGAACTCAATTACAGGAAGATACATTAGTATCTATAGATAACGCAGGTTTCAGTACCAGAATGTTATAAAAATTACCAGATGTTATTTTTAAGCCATAGCTACTGTCTCTCTCATTTGAAGGGGCTGCACTTCTTTCAGAAGTAAATCCTTCTACCCCTCAAATGTCCCTCCTTTTTATTTATTACAGGATACTAATTTAACAGGAGCCAATTAACCTAGCAGCATGTAGTGTGGGAGGAAACCCATGCAAGCACAGGGAGAACATGCAAACTCCATGTAGTATCCTGGCTGTGATTCGAACCAGGGACTCCCAGTGCTACAAGGCAGAAGTGCTAACCACTTTTAAATCTGATGTACATACAGACCTATAAACATTTTATTTTAATGCCTGGAATGTATATATTGCTCTCATGGTCCCTGTGTGTTTTATAACGTAGGCAGCACTCCAAGCTCGCTCATGTGATGGACTACAATCTCAATACAAATTGGTAAAGTAAATGTGAGATTGTAGTCCATCACATGGGGTGAGCTTGGAGCGGTGCTCCGCGGCTTATTGATATGCAAATCACCGCTGCCCATTCATATGTAAATATCGCGGCCGGGACAGGGGACAGGAACAGCGCCGGACATCACCGGCAGCTCCGGAGAGGAGAGCACAGAGTAGAGACTAGAGAGAACTGGGTGAGGAAGTGTTTTTTTTGGGCTCCCCCACCAGCTCCCTGTAGTGTCTACTGTGTAGTAGTGCCGGCTCTGCTAAGAGCCGACCATCAGGCATAGCAAACCGGCCCGAACACAATCAGGTTGATTGTGTTCGGGCCGGCCCGGCCCTCCGGGCAAGTGCCCTGTTTGCCCTGTGGCCAGTCCGGCCCTGGTGCCTACTTTAAAACACACACATGGACTATGGGGAACAAAAGTAGCCACCCTGCAGAAGGAAGGACAGTGTCGGCACCAATTCAGAGATGATTTGAGGATCTACTGCCGAGTGATGTTGCACAAATAAGATTCATTTTTGTTAATAGTTAGGGTACCTGAATGCATTTTTCAGATTTAACTCCTGAGTTTAGTGTCACTTTAACTGGTCGTATTTGCAAATGAGTTCTTTGTCTGCAAGATCTGGGGTGTGAAAAGGGCATGGATTTTGACTTAATATTTTGTGCTTTCCCATCTATAAAAGTATGAAGTATGTTTAAACAATGTTTAAATCCTGTGACATGTGCCTCATCTGTGCATATTTTATAATCTACTTGCACTGCGTGGTGGGAGGAGCTCACCTATCAAACCAAGTTACAGGCTTCTGACGTCTTGGCATCCCTCTCACTACGTCCCTTGGCAATCATATTTAAAAAGTGTTATGTGACATTCAAAGGATGGCACTGTGGGTGGGGGCTTTGGCAGAGAAAACACAAATGACTCAACCCCCTCACATTGAGGCAGTGACTGACTAATTACTATGCAGTTGGAGGCACTACAACTGCATAGTAAAGAGTGGTCTACAAAAAACACCCTTGCAGTGGACTTTCCTCACACTGTTAGTCTTGTTAGGTTAGGGTTAAAGAAAAGGCTGCAATACTTACTGTATTCCTTACTCTGGCAGGCTTCCAGAACTCTGTCCGATCTTCCAGGTTGTGGGTGGGCCCTCGCCATCCTCGCGTACAATGCAGGACAATTGGCCCTACATTGTATGTCATGATATCAGAGTGTGACTGCCAGCCAGGGGCTGACTGGCAACTTTTGGCCCAGGGGGCAAGTAACACCCAGAGGCCCACTGAGCCCCCCTCCTGCTTTCCCTCTTCCCCTGCGTGCTCCCCACCCCCCTTGCCACTTTCATCAGCCATGTAAATTACAACACAGGAAAACAAAATAAACTAGGGATGCTCCTTCATATATATATCGGCCGCCGAAATATATCAGCCGAAAATGGCACTTTTGGCATAATGCCGAATGTGCTATTTTCTGGCTGATACAGCGTTGCATCTGTGTATTCTCTCCTCCCTGCTGGGCGCTGCTCTGTGTCGCAGCGGGGAGGAGAGAAACTGTGACAGCCGGCCGAGCGCTGCTCTCTTCTCCGCACCGCCTGCTCAGCCTCCTGTGACAGTGTGTCAGGAAGCAGAGGCACAAACATGCAGTGATCAGTGATCACTGAGTGTTTGTAAATAATTGAGGACATATCATGTTTACTATGTCCCCAATTATGAATAAATAGAAAGTGATCTACATCACCCCCATTCATTCATGATTGGGGTTATAGTAAACACACTCTGTCCTCATGTTATGAATGAACAGGAGCACTCAGTAGAGAGGATTCCTGTTCATTTATAACAGGGGCTGCAGAAAAAGAGATTGAGGACTCTGTGTTCTCAATCGCTTTTTCTATTTTAAAAGGGAAATATCAGGGGTCTGTTTAGACCCCTAATATTAGACCCCGAAGCCCCTAAAAGTAAGGTAAAAAATAAAAATATTTAATAAAAAATTAATAATGAAATAAAAAAAATAAAGAAATTTAAAAAATGAAAAATGAAATATTTAACACAGAGCACAGTGGACAGGGTGTGAGACAGAGGTCAGGGTGTGATGCAGTGCGCAGTGGTCAGGGTGTGACGCAGAGCGCAGTGGTCAGGGTGTGATGCCGAGCACAGTGGTCAGGGTGTGATGCAGAGCACAGAGGTCAGGGTGTGATGCAGAGCGCAGAGGTCAGGGTGTGACGCAGAGGTCAGAGTGTGACGCAGAGCACTGAGGTCAGGATGTGTTACAGAGCGCAGAGGTGAGGGTGTGACGCAGAGGTCAGGGTGTGACACAGTGGGGGGAATTGCCACCCTGCCCCCCGGCCCAGTCCGCCCCTGCTGCCAGCCAAGCGTGCCTTAGAGAAGAGGCTTCGGGTGACCAATCGTACAAGTTCCAGGAAGCCTACTAGAGTGAACAACAAGGCAAGTATTACAGCTTATTCCTCTACCTCCAGATTTAACATGAATGTAATGCTTGCATATAGCTTGCAGGTAGTTTTTGATCCTGCACTCTTCATTTAAATTGCAAAGGTAAGACAGGCTGACTTTAAAAGTTTAAATGAAACGGGAGCAATAGATTTCAGAATTAACTTTTATAATATGCGAAGTGCAGCTTTAAAGGGCAAAATTACATTAAAATATACCTCCAGCCACATTGTTTTTCTAGTTTTGAATAGAGTGGCAGTAGGTATAAACCTCTGCTGGTGTCTCCATGATGGAGATTATCTTGCACATCCTGTCCCCGAGCCTGCAATCGAAGTGAGAGGAAATCTCAAAATGACGAGAAATTTCACCTCTGACAGTTTTCACCAGAACAAGTGTCCCCATCAAAAGATAACCCCTCTGTTCCGGTTCAGGTGACAAATGTAACATTTTGAATTCCCTTGACCTGCCTTAATTAATGACAGTAGTCTCCAGGACAAATAGGGAAGTTAGATTTCCCTTAAGGACTAGAATAAAGTTTTGTCTGGAGTTATATGTTAAAGCATCAAGCAGGGATCAGAGGAGTGTGGGGAGGTGAGTGTAGTGTAGAGTAATCTGCGTTCTGACATGCCACTTAGGGGCAGTATTCACTTTTGGTTGTTCCTGCCAAAGCAGAACTTCACAGCAGTTTGCTGCATGGCAACTTATGTTATCAACCCTGCTCCCCTGTCTTCATCAGATATTCTAGGATTCACCAGCTTCCTCCCACCAGATGGAGGGGAAAGGACCTGGCGGCACGTCATCGAGGTGCTGACTGTGAGAACCTGGAACAGACAGCTGTCTATTGATGATGTCGTCAGAGTGGAAAATGTCAACATTGGATCTCGCAAAATACATTGGTTGTATTTAGGCCGTATACACCACATTGGTGCAGTTAGGTGCAATATACTGCAGTCTAGACATACTATAAGCAGATTGACCATAATATTTAATGAAAGGCTTCCTCTGCGTTAGCAGTTATATAGAAGTCCAATAGTCACATATGACGTACAGTTCTACAGTATATAAATCTACGGTATATCCAGTCGTAGAATCCCCAGAATTTCTGTGTAGCGCTCACCCCCGAAGGAGCCGCTGAATATTGAAATGGGTTCTCCTACCTGTTGGTTCCATCTACCAGTCCCCTTTGATCAGCAACAGCACACCGACACTCACGGACAGAACGGCTCGAGTCTTAGGGTCTTTTTAGGGTATTTATTTGCAACATCAATAGGAGAGAGAGGGTTTAGGATCTGTAGGATGCCCTTGTAATCTTCTGAGGACAGCTTTCTCCCCTAGCAACCGCTAAGGCTGAAATCACTGCGATCTGGTCCCAGGGACCAATAGTAGTAGTAGTAGTACTGTGAACAGATACCTGGAATAGGGTGAGGGCTCTCCCTTGTGGGACCCAGACGGACGCTCGCACCAGCTCCTCTGCGGTACCCCTCAACAAGCGGACTCCTCCCCGACCCAGCTTCCATCAGGTATTTTCCTCTTTAGGATCTGGAACTTCTGTGCCCTCAGCATCTGCAACTGCCAAGGAGCACTCCAGTTAAATGAGAGTATCTTCTTAGAACAAGGCACCCAACACCTGCCACGTGTATGGGCCCAGTGAAGTATCAGTGTATCCTTAGGCCTCCAGGCCCCTCAGCACCTGCCATGTGCTGAGGCCCAGGCCATTTGCTCTGCATCACACACAGTCCTCCTAGGGCAAGGCCCCTAGGGGGAAGAGAGCTCTCCACAATGTCCCCAGACCTTTTATTACCTGCCCTCAACCATGCCTCTGAGTCATCCTACTCAGGGATTGGCTAGGGCCAGGTGCATAGTCATAACCTGAGGGTGGATCCTCCCTCACTGTATGCCAAGGCTCCCTTTTCCTCAGCAACAGGAGGAGCAATCGATCCAGCAGATTCAGGGACACCTATAGAATGCAGAGCTCTGTATAATCAGTATCTAGACTGGTTACAGTCCAGGTATCTCTAAATTGAATAGCGACATTTTAGAGGGCGCTACATCTGTATAACATGAGAACCTTTGCTTGAGTATTTGTGAATGTAATAACCACTTTTTACATTAGGTGGCAATAATAGGAGGCACATCACAATATGGAATGGATAGCCGTACTGCTCACACTATGCTCATATAGAAAATGTGGGCAGATTACACATCAAGCTTTGTAACATTTAAAGTATTATTTTTGAAGAAAACAACAAATTCTATCACAGCAAACTTTGGTTCATTTTATAGTCATTGACAATGCCCATAATACTCAAAGACAGTGGCGCCACAAGGGGGGTGCGGCCCGCACCCGGGAGACACCATTGGACGGGTGACACCAAAATGACTCACAGCCATGTTGGTGTTACCCCCCTCTGAAAAGCCAGTATCGGGAGAGAGGAGGGGACCCAGCGGCATACCTTATCCCGCCGGGTGACTGATGGACGCCGGCAGGTATTGGAAGACTGCTGCGCGTGCGCGATGACGTCTCGGCGGGGTGACACTCGGTTACCGCTCCGGGTGTCACCCAGCCTCGGGACGCCCCTGCTCAAACAGCCTACACATCCACCAGGAGATTCGCTTTTGCTCCTTTCAAAGCATCATCTTGACTCTTGTGATTCAAAAAGTCCTACAAAGAAAATACGGCACAACTCTTTTATTTGCATACATTTCTTACATCGGATTGCCTGAAGCCACCCTACTGGCAATTAAAAGTACATTCCAGTCAAACATAAAAATATACCATGTTTATAAACCCAATGCTCAGTAATAAAGGGCACCAAATAAAAAGGTGAAAGAGTTCAAAAGCAGGTAATTTTATCAAATCTTATAGAGATCCATTTGGTTATAGTATCTTTTCAGTCCAGTCAAATTCTTTTCCCATTCTAAGCCATGATGAAAGGGGAGTGTTGTTGCCCCCAAAACGCATTGGCTGTTTCTTATTTGATTGAATTGCAAACAATTAAAGGCACTTTTGCACTCCTACTTTTTTGTTTGGTCTCCTTTATTTCTGAACCTTGAGTCACTTCTGGTTGCCCAACAACAGAGGCCTGTTTTGTAGGCGAGTTACTTTACCAAAGCCATGGAGCTATAATTTTCATCCCAGCATTGATTATTTGCACCAGGATGTAGAGTTCTGTAAAACACTATGGTTGCATAAAACATGGTCTCAAACTTCTAGTGATTTTGGCTATGTGGGTGGCACACTTCACTAATGCATACTTGTCAACTCTCTCAGATGAGAAAGAGGGACATCTTTAGGTGTAAAGTGTGTAGTCAAAGGACATACCATGCCATGTTCCCTAAAAGGCAGGCCACAAGGAACTAATATGCAAATAAGAATTAGTTAAAACCACAAGTGCTCTTTTAAAATCTATATTACTTTATAATGGGTTTAAAAAAAAAAAAAAGAAGTGCAATAAGTTAAAGGTTTAAAAGATTCACATAATTTTCCATTGCAATCATTTTTATTAATTTCCATGGCAAAGAATGAAACAGCAGAACAGCCTACACATGGGTGTAACATGAACCAAGACTGCACAGTGCAAATTGTCCATCAGTAAATGAATAGCATTTTTGAGTTGGCCAGTCACACAGAGGGAAAAGTCATCCCTTGGTCACTCTAAATCTTGGAGGGCAGCCTGCTCGTGTGAGTGGCCGCATCGGACAAGATCACAGAAAATGAGAAAATAAAGGAAAGTGTAGAGGGCAGAGAAAGAGTAGGGCCTCAAGGAAGGTCAAATCAGTAGATGAAAAGAAAGGGTGAAGGAACAAGCGAGTCCAAGGGGAGAGACAGAGAGGAGGAAAGAAGGATAAATAGAGAGAAGCACTGGGGTTCCCCCCCCCCATCAACCTGAAATGAGAATAAAAGAAAAATTACATCTCAAAAGTAGCCCAAACTAAAGGGATTCAGGAATGAATGGACATAGGATAGCCCGGGTTCCCAAGTCCTGAGGAACTTAGTGTAGGAGCCATGATGGATACTAGTAATGCTTTTGTTAATTAACATCGTATTCATATGATCCTATATCTCTTGCAGAGATTCGCACCACTTTCATCCAAGGTGCATGCATTTTCCTTATTGGATTTGGTTGAAAAAAATGCATGCAAATCCTTGGTCAAAGTTGCGTGAATCTTGTGTGAAAAATGTATAGACAGACTCTTTAGCGAAGTATAACACTTTTAGTAGTTAAAGTGCATGTAAAGCCAAATCTTTTAATTTTAGCTTTAGAGTAGGAAAGAAAGTGGGGAAGGGTTAAAACTCCTATCAGGTTATTTTTTGCTGCTTGTGCCCCACTGGGAAGATTCTTGCTTCGCAACCTCCACTGGAGACACAACAGGAAATGTGAAGAAATCTCTTTGAAGTGATCAGAATTTCTATCTTAGAGAGCCACTGGTGTCCTCTTAGGAGGATTGTCCCACATTTTGTCTGGTGACAACTCTAAAGTTTTGGATTTCCTCTAAATTTCTGTCTCGGTGATAATGGTCACCAGGAAAAACAGATGGGTTAGTCCTCCCAGTGGGAGACACATAGGAGTTTAATACAAGCTTGACTAAGGGTCTACCCTTCCTTATTTTATCCATATATTTACAAAAATGACTTTACATATACAGTACATAAATAGTGCATTTTTCATAAAGGTCTGAAGATCAGACAAAATGAGGGACAACTGAGGAGGAAAGAGGGACAGTCTCTCCAAATGAGGGACAGTTGGGAACTATGCTAATGTAATGCAGGATGGCATATAAAGTATTTTAGTATCTTTGGACATTCTATTTATGCAAACTTCTGGCTATTCAGAAAGACATATTCACAGTTCTGGAACCTGATGTTACACTGAGCATTAGAACTGAATAGAAGCAGCAGCTCTACTTAGAGGTACTGTAAAAATCCCTGCTCAATTTGGCTGCAAGGAACTGTGGGAAAGGTGAACATACTGTAACTCAGATCAAGATATATTGAGTTGATTTTCTGACTTAGTGGCAATATTTTGCTGTCTGCATAATCCGTTTACAAGTTAGCTCTAGTTAGTAACATCTAATGCTAGTTGCCTGGTTGTCATACTTCAATACTATAAGACAGTAACAAGTAGGCTGATAAGAAGGGATGAACTTAGGTTCACACTGAACATGAGTTTGTCCAAACCCATAAGGAAGCTGTCAGTGTTGGCCCAATAAGCTGCGGCAGGGCATTCCCTGCTACACAGCGGAATGTAAACAAAGGGGAGTGATGCTGGTGAGATCAATGACCTTATGTGGCCATAAAAGGTCAGTGTTGTCACCGGCACCTTGCCCTTTGTTCACTTGCAGCTGTGATGAATGCCCAACTGCAGCTGATTGGGCCAACACTGACAGTTTCCTTCCAGATTCAACAAGCTTAAGTTCGACCAACCTGAGCTCATCCCCACTGATGAGGGCTATTAACTTTACACTGACTTTCCTGATCTGCAAACTTGTCAGTATAATAATCTTTATTTTTTAATGTGATTATTATTACTTATTATTTTTTACTTTTATTTATGTAATTATTTTTGTATCAATTTTTGTTTATCTAACTTTATTGCTATCACACAGGAGCTGACAAGTCACTGTGTAATAGCACCTCCAATACAGGAGTATGTCACCTCCAATACAGGAGTTCTAGCACAGCACTCTACTGGTACTCCTGTGACAGGTGAGAGAGGAGGAGCACAGCTCTCCCCTCTCACTGTCTACATGTAGCGGCAAGGTTGCCGCTCTGCTTACCGCTCTCCATACTGAAGACGGCGGCGAGGGCGGAGCCAGGAGACGGAGTCGGGAGCACGAAGCAGGGAGGGGACGGCCGGCAGTCTAATTACAAGTGTTCTCAGCGATGTCGCTGAGAACACTTGTAAAGAAACAAGTGATTTCACCTATTCTACATTTAGTCCTGCTTGTGCAAAGCAAGGCTAAATGTGGAAAGTAAATTACTGCCCGGCGCCCGGAACTCTATGTTCCGGTTGTCGGGTGATTCAAACCTGTGCCGCCCCTCTGCTCAGTGCCGCACCGAGGTCGGGACTCCGGCCCTGTTGGTAAGTAAAGGCACCGCCACATATATCTTTTTGAAAAAGTTAAGCTGACGGTAGACATGATAAACTGTTCATGGGGTTTGCTTCTATACTAGATGGGCAATGTGCTAGCCTGTCTGTGCTGCTTCTCCTCTTCATAGCAATAAATATGAACACTCTTCTGAGCCGATTGTTTGTGATCATGTGTGCAGCGCATGAGAGAGGAGTGTTTGGTTTGTCCTTGCATGTCTGACCTCATGTTGGGAAACTTCATTCCAGTGTGTGCATTTAAACAACCCCTGTGTAAAATGTATTTACTTTATTTGATAAGTTACTTTTTATTTTTTGTAATTATGATGGAGTACATTTTTTGATAGCTAGGTAGGGTTATCCAGGGTTAAGGAAATCTATTATTAAATGCTACATTTATACTTTCTGCTTTTTGTTGCTATGTAACAGAGTTTTTCTAGGTTTTTGAGAAGGTTTTAAGCTGTAAACAAAGCCTTCAGTACGGCAAGGAGTGAAGACAGCGATATTATTTAACAATTATTACTAGCTTGTCTACATGTAGCTGTAAATCAGTTGGCTATGGTTACACTTCTAACTGCAGTTCGCATCCTTTGGCATAATTGTTGTGGTGGCATTGACCCTTGCTAGTGTACTCACTAATTCTGTCAACCCTGCCTCTCTGTCTTGCCTAATCTCTGGATAACTGATCCACCTCCTAACCATACTTTGCCCCTTTGAGACAATGGTCACCATTTTTAGATTTTAAGCCCTCGTGGGCAGGGTCCTCCTTACCATCTTGTCTTGATTTGTATTGTGATTGTAATGTCTTCCTTATATTGTAAAGCGCTGCGCAAACTGTTGGCGCTATATAAATCCTGTATAATAATAATACCTATGTGATATAGTCAGTTCCTTAATTTCCACGGGAACTATAAAGCAGGAAAATAAAGTATCCTTGAAAGGTAGCAACTAAAGTTGGTCAGTGGGAGCAAATATTCCGAGTTAGTGGGAGTGAAAAATTCCCCCAGAATTTAGTGTTCAGGGGCTACCAACCTTTCGAATACATTCCATGTCAAATGCTGCTCCTCTATTGCCCAGAGCTGCCCTTGAGATGTGCAGGGTCCATTGTGCGTACCTGTGCCTTTTGAGGGAGGTTGGGCTTCCTCCTGACAAACCTGCCCCCAATTTGATCTTTTGCCACATGTGCTCCAAGATGGAGACTCTCATAGTTTAGAGTTAGGACCGCACTATATAGAGGTGCCTTGGCGCGGCAGTGCGGCTTTCACATTTTCTGCAGAAGAAGTGTACCTAAACCTCTGTTTTTAACCTTAGCAGTGAGACAAGTTTTTTTGCATGCTGGCTGGTGAATGTGCTGGGAAACTTTTTGTAACCTAGTGAAACTCAGTCAGAGAAGGCACAGAATGGACGCTTATGGCTACTAAAGGTAATGGCAGGCATCTTGTGGTGTCTGTTCTTAGGCAGGGCTTTTACTTTTAAATGTTTAAAATGGACTACAGGTTCACTATTAAAAAAGTGACTTCAGTACCAAGGACACAGAAACTGCTCTCAGGTGACAGTCATCTATATATTCCATGCTGCTCTACCCATGATAAATAAACAAAGAAAAAAACTCATCACCTGAATGGCCAACCATCTTCCAGATCCCCAGGGCTTGTGCTGGCTGTGAATGAAAGTAGCTAAATGACGCTAACAGTAATAGGCTGATATGCTTTCAGCTGTATGATATTCTTCAAGAAATCTTCCCCAGAGACGCCTTACCCTAGAATGTCTGAAGAGAAAATTACTAAATTTGTGTCTAATATGAAATGAAAGTGAAGCTTACTTAATCTTTTCAATTTTTCACATAGCACACATAAGGCACAGTGCTCAGGAATCGTATTACCCTACCTATTTGCATTTCACAGTATTAAATTGCCTACATGTTGGAAACAGGGTAGCCGCCTGACTGACCTAAGTAATACTAAAGTGCACCTGTCATTTTGAATAGGACAACATTGTGAGGATAATAGGAAAGCTAGGTGCTTTCCTATTATACTCACATTTGTAACCTCAAATGAACCCTATAATGGATATTAGAAAAGGAGGTGAAAATGTATACAAAAACACTATAACTTTTATTTAAGCTGCTGTGTGAATACAGAAATGCAATGTAGAGCTAGTGCAGCATTTCACAATCTTTGTCAGTCACAGCACCTTTCAAAAGTATGCAAAATTTCTAGGGACCCCATAACATTTAAAAAAAAGTAAATTTAAAAAAAATGACATGTGCCCCTTCCAAATCCATACAGACCCTCAGAGAGTGGTCTGGTATATATTTTAAGGGGGGACCCCATGCAAAAACACAAATGGGTTCCCCATTCATATGACAACCCTCTGCTTTCACATCAGAGTCACCCTTCACATCAGTAGCTTCCCTTATAAATCAGTGCCCCCCTTTTACATCAGAGCCTTCCCTTTCACATCAGAGTTCCCCATTCACATCAGGAGCCTCCCTTATACATCAGATCCCTCCTCTTTTCATTAGAGCCCCCCCTTTCATATCAGAGCCCCCTGGTTAACTTCAGAGCCCCCCTTCACATCAGGATCCTCCCTTATACATCAGAGTCCCCCTTTTAGATTGCACAGAGTTCCTCATTTACATCAGAGCCCGCTTTTCACATTATAGTCCCCCCTTCACATCAGGAGCCTCCCTTATACATCAGAGCTCCCCTTTCATATCAGAGCCCCTCCCTTTAACTTCAGAGTCCCCCCTTCACATCAGGAGCCCCCCTTATACATCAGAGTCCCCCTTTTAGATCAGAACCCTCCTCTTTCACATCAGAGATCCTCCTCACATCAGAAGCCTGCCTGCACCATGGAAAGACATGATGTTGTGCCTCAATTTTGAGGCACCACTGAGGAAGCCAGAAGCACCCCAGGATTCCAAGGCACTCTTGTTGGGAAAGGCTCAGCTAGCCTACCACTTACCTGAGTCTTGGTTACCCTTGGCTGGAGCCTATGAAACCTTACAACAAGTCTTGGCCTGCTGGATGAATTCACACTCACTTTCACTGGGGATTTTTGAAATAGGTGGAGCATTACTGAAAAAAATATGTCTATGTAAAGGATGTATTCATGGAGACTTGGAGAAAATTGATGAAAGCTGCATGCTAAGGAATGTGCATGAGAGAGAGAGAGAGAGAGAGAGATCACAATACTCTCCAAGATAATGCCCTCTCTACTTGTCTTTCCAGAAGGACTGCACCATCATTAGTCACTAAAGGGTCGGCAGCTACTTCCTGGACTGAGACTCTGGCTCAGATATGACACATTAATTTAAATACTGGTCAGTGTGCAGCTCATGCTCACCTTCTGATATCCTATAATGCAGGGGTGCCCACAATTTTTTGTGTTAAGATCTACTTTTCAAATGACAAGCTACATGAGATCTACCAAGAAAAAAAACCCCTCCCTCGCTCTCTCTCTCCTGGCTGTCTCTCCTCGCTCTCTCTCCTTGCTCTCTCTCCTGGCTGTCTCTCCTTGCTCATCCTCCTGGCTGTCTCTCCTTGCTCATCCTCCTGACTGTCTCTCCTCTCTCTCCTGGCTGTCTCTCCTTGCCTATACTCCTGGCTGTCTCTCCTTTATCTCCTGGCTGTCTCTCCTTGCTCATCCTCCTGGTTGTCTCTCCTCGCTCTTTCTCTCCTGGCTGTCATTCCTTGTTTTCTCTCCTGGCTATCTCTCCTCGCTCTCTTGGCTGTCTCTCCTCTCTCTCTTTCCTGGCTGTCTCTCCCCGCTCTCTCTCTTGTCTGTCTGTCCCCTCTCTTTCTCCTGTCTGTCTCTCCCCGCTCTCTCTCCTGGCTCACCTTGCTGTATTTTGCAAACAGTGCAGTGCTACAGGCTGTGTAAACTAATATTCTTTGATGTAATACATAGCACTTCAACCCCCAGTATCCACCAGAAAGGTGTCAGGGAGCTTGGTTCAGCAGACTCAGGCTAATAAGCAATCATGTGTGCACAGCTAAATAAATATACCAAAATGGAATAAAGGGGCTGCCATTCACACCCTTCCTGATCTACCAGCATCAGCTTTGAGAGCTACTGGTAGATCACAATCTACCTAATGGGCACCCCTGCTATAATGTATTCGCCCTTCTCCTTGGAGCCTCATGCCTCCTGCGGTAAAATCGTGTTTTTCGGTATTCCCACTCCGGCTACAGTCTCTATAATATAGAAAAATGTAAAAATCTAGGGAATGAGACTGTTTTTGATTGTCACGGCAAATATACAGACCTGGAAACTCCAGCACAGATATCTCAGCATCAGAATTCTTAGGTACTCGTTTTTAAAAAAAAGAAGCACCTAACAATACCTGAATTATCATTTTGCATTAGCTGATTACTGATTATTATCTACTTACATGAAGCCCCATGGCTTCTATCAATACTCAAATTTGGTCTGACCATTATCCCATTTCCCTTTCCTTAACCTTCCCCGACTCTTTACACAGAACTCTGACTTGGCGGCTGAA